GAAAGCCCACCAGTACCCTTTTCAGTCCTTGAAATGCCCTCTGCTGAGATAGTTTATGCCAAGGATGCACAGAGCCTCTGAGACAGTCACAATAGGATGCTTTTGCCACTCATTCCCAGTCGGGCTGATTTCAGCCTCCAATACAGTCAGCTGTTGGGATCCCCCTGTCATTCCAGAAATACAAATAGCTTCTGCTTCTTTATAGAATCATAGAATATCCCAAGTTGGAAGGGACCCGCAAGGATCATCAAAGTCCAACTCCTGGCCCCTGGACAGGACAGCCCCAAGAATCCCACCATGTGCCTGATAGCATTGTCCAAATGTTTCTTGAACTCTGGCAGGCTTAGTGCTGTGACCACTGCCCTGGGGAGCCTATTCCAGTGCCCAACCACCCTCTGAGTGAAGAACCCTTTTCTAATATCCAACCTAAATCTCCCCTGACACAACTTCAGGCCATTCCCTCAGGTCCTGTCACTGGTCACCAGAGAGAAGAGATCAGTGTCTGCCCCTCCACTTACCCTCATGAGAAAGTTGTAGTCAGCTGTGAGGTCTCCCGTCTCTTCTTCAGGCTGAACAAGCCAAGTGACCTCAGCTGCTCCTTGTGTAGCTTCCCTTCAAGGCTCTTCACCATCTTCGTTGCCCTCCTTTTGATGCTGTCTAATAGCTTAGTATCTTTCTTATATCGTGGCTCCCAAAACTTCACACAGGACTTGAGGTGAGGCCGCACAAAGCAGAGTGGGACAATTCCCTCCTTTGACCAACTGGCGATGCTGTGCCTGATGCTACCTAGGACATGGTTGGCCCTTTTGGCTGCCAGGGCACACTGCTGACTCACATTTAACTTGCCACAGTTTGATGGCATTAGGGTACACTGTGCAATGGTATCTACCTAGAACCTTATACTCCTGTTAGTCCAACGTTCCAGGTCATCAAATCCACGCAGTCTAGTAAAACCAGTTGTACCTCTCTTTCATCTGGCTGGAGGCAGGGCCTCTCTACTACTGATCACAGGATTCTCCACTTAGTTCTTGTAGAAATGGATTAGAACTTCAATCCATAGAATCAGTCGTGAAATCAGCCCTTCCATTCTGCCTGGGAATCTGTCCCCTGGAGCAAAAACTTTCCTGGATGAACCCCCATTTGTGATTGTTTTTCCCTGTAATTCCTGCACCCATGTCTCTAGGGTCGAGGTAGGTTTTCCATCCCACTTTCTCATGCCCTCTCCATAGTCCCACAAGTAAAACCACAGGGTATCCCATGGTGTGTACCTTCTATATACTCTCTCAAGGATAAAAGGACATCTGCTGTCAGTTACTGAGATACGGCCCCGTACAGGGAGAAGCAACACAGCAAAGCACAAACTGTCTAGGAGGTTGCTGGAAAACATTGATGACTTCTTGACACAGATGGTGGAGGAACCAACAAGCTACTTAACCTTATACTATAAACAAGGAAAGCCTTGTTGGAGATGTGAAGTTTGGGAGCAGCCTTGGCTGCAGTGACCATGAGATTGGGGAGTTCAGTATTATGTGAGGAAGAAGTAGGACAGCAAGTAAGATCACAACCATGGACTTCAGGAGAGCTAAATTTAGCCTCTTCAGGAATCTTCTTGGAAGAATCCCATGGGAACAGGCCCTGCAGGGAAGAGGGGTCCAAGAGAGCTGGTCAATATTCAAGTATCCATTCCTCCAGGATCAAGAATGGTGCATCATGATCAGTAAGAAGTTGGGCAAAGGGGTGTGATGGTTTGGACTTGGCTCCCTGCCAAATGCCCAAACCCTAGTAGAAGCCTCCCCCCTTCCTCCTCCCTTCTTCCCCCAGGGCAAAGGAAAAAAAAACTATGCAAATTGAAGAACCCAAAAATCAAACTAGTTATATAAAAATATATATATTTGATGTATATTACAGTTAAGATGCTATGTACACAGCAAAAAGGAATCCAAACACCCCGCGAAGGGATAGGGAAAGGGGAAAAGGAACAAAAGGAGACAAAGAAGGGACACCGAGTAGATATACTCAATCAAACCTGAGAATTAGTAAAATAACTAGTAAAACAAATCTCACCATGTCTCTTAGAAAAGCAGGATTAGCACACACGGTCAGCATTCTGCTATCCTCCACGTGGCAGGCCAGCGGTCGCTGCAGGCCTCAGCCTTAGATAAGCGAGACCAACGCAAGGACTCACTTTTCCTGAACCTCACCGGAAGAGAAGAGAGTGAAGACTTCTCCTCCCTTCTTATTTATACCCCGATTTACGTAAAAATCGTATGGAATACTGGGAACACTGCCTCTTCCTTGGTTACACACTGGTAACCAAGGAAGGCCTAGATTAAAACCACCACAAGGGGGCAAGAGACCTGCATGGATGAACAAGGAACTCCCAACATTACTCAAGCGAAAGTAGGAAATACGCAGGAGATGGAAGCAGGGTCTGGCCACTTGGAATGAATATAGAGAGGTTGTCAGAGTAAGTAGAAATGAGAGGAGGAAGGCCGAGGCCCATCTGGAATTAAATCTGGACAAGGATGTCAAGGACAGCAAGAAGGGTTTCTTCAAAGACATCAAAAACAAAAGGAAAACTAAGGATAATGTGGGCCTGTTACTAAATCCAGGGGGGGAACCTGATAACAGAGGATGCAGAGAAGGGAGTTACTAAACGCCACCTTTGCATCAGTCTGCACCTACAAGACCAGACCTCAGGAATCTCTGACCCAGGGGACCAGGGGAAAGGAATGTTGGAAGGAAGACTTTCCCTTGGTCAAGGAGGATTGGGTTAGAGAGCTCCTAGGAAAACTTGACATCCACAAGTCCATGGGCCCTGACGGGATGCACCCACGAGTGCCAGCTGTGAGAGCTGGCAGACACCATAGTGAGGCCACTCAAGATCATCTTTGAAGGGTGTTGATGATCAGGAGTGGTGCCTGGGGACTGGAAGAAAGCAAATGTCACCCTGGTCTTCAGAAAGGGCAAGAAGGAGGACCCAGGGAACTACCAGTCAGTCAACCTCACTTCAGTCCCTGGAAAGGTGATGGAGTGCCTCGTTCTGGAGGCCATTTCTATCCACATGGAAGACCAGAAGGTTATCAGGAGTAGTCAGCATGGATTCAGTAAAGGTAAATCATGCTTGACCAAGCTGATGCCTTTCTACAATGAAACAACTACCTGGGTGGCTGAGGGGAGATCAGTGGACAGTGTCTACGTGGGCTTCAGCAAGGCTTGTCAACACTGTCTCTCAAAACATCCTCATAGGCAAACTCAGGAAGTGTGGACTGGATGAGTAGACAGTGAGGTGGATTGAGATCTGGCTGAACAGCAGATCCTAGAGGATCGTGATCAGCGGTACAGAGTCTAGTTGGAGGCCAGTCACTAGTGGTGTCCCCTAAGCTTTAATACTGGTCCCAGTATTATTTAAATTATTCATCAATGACTTGGCTGAAGGGGTAGATGCCTCCTCAGCAAGTTCACTGACGACACAGAGCTGGGAGGAGCGACCAATACCCCAGAGGGCTGTGCAGGCCTTCAGAAGGACCATGACAGGTTGGAGAGATGGGCAGAGAGAAACTGTCTAAAATTCAACAAAGGCAAATGCAGGGTCCTGCACCTGGGGAAGAATAGCCCCAGGCACCAGTACAGGCTGGGGGCCAACCTCCTGGAAAGAAGCTCTGTGGAGAAGGACCTGGGGGTTCTGGTGGACAACAAGCTGTCCATGAGCCAGCAGCATGCCATGGTGGCCAAGAAGGCCAATGGGATCCTGGGGTGCATTAGGAAAAGCATTGCCAGCAGAGCGAGGGAGGTGATCCTGCCCCTCTACTCAGCCCTGATGGAGGAGGGATGCACAGAAATGCAACAAGGTGGAAGGTGCTGAGGAATTTGCAGAGAGGGGTACAAAGGAGGAGGATGCTTTTCCAGTGTTGAATATTGTGTGGAAATGGATATCTTAGTGGTTAAAGCATTAACTCTTGATGGATTGGAGGTGGTGAGGAGAAAACCATGAGAATTAGGAGGATAATCACTTAGTAGAGTACCAGCCCCACATGTGGAGTTCACCCAAAGAGGGAAAGGCAAACTTTTCTCTTTTTGTCCCAAACTGAAGACAAAATGTTTCTTTGGTTTTGCTGGCATGTCCTGTCATCTTGAAGTGTGAGCTTTCTAGGGTGAGGACTGTCTTATCTTCCTGCAGAAGAATGATCTAAGGCAGTGGTCTCCACCTTTTGATTGCACCACCTCATCAATAAAAAATTTGTGAGCACTCCCAATATATTTTTATTAATTATATATGTATACTATATGTATGTTATAAACCATACATGAAAATAATAAAAAAAAAAGGATGAGAACAAATTTTTATTTTCATGCTCTATTTTTAATGTTTTTAAACCTTATTTATTAATGGTACCAAACCCAATTTCTTCATGCACCCCAATGGATTTTCTTGCACACCCCACTTTGGAAACTACTGATCTGAGTTCTCTTGTGACATAGTTTAATTAAATTTTCCGGTCATCAGGTGGTAACTTTTTTTCACCAGTTTTTTTAGTATTTCTGCTGATTTCCTAGCTGATGTTTTTTACTTTTAGAAAACAGGGCATGGTAAAACCTTTAAACTACATCCAGTTTGTGATTATGGTCCTGGCCTGACCCTAGGTCTTTGGCCCCTGATGGTCTGTTGCTCTTTCAGGCACAGTCTCTCTGGAATATGGCAGCTCAGAGCTAAAGGTTGGGAGGGGTAAGCATTTAGTTGTTGCCTTTAATTTATCATTAAGAGATTAAGTATTTGTATATGATATTAAAAATGTCTGTAAAATAGGTTTATTTTGAAGTTGAGGATTCAGGTAAATCTTCAGCTATGCTATAAGTGATGTCAGCTTCTGCCCAAACTTCCTTTAGTTCTTCCTTTTAAAATTTTCTTATGCGTGTAATACAGGGTTCATAAGAGTTGTCCAGCTCTGTTTTGGTTTCAGCATTTCAGCTATTGATAAATGATGTTGTCTTTTTCTAAGGATTACTATGGAATTACATTCCCTGCTCCTGCAACCTTAACAGGAAGAGATGGAAGCCTTGCTAACAACCCCTACTCAGGTGAGTGCTATTTAAACACGAGGGTAGTGAGTGAGATGTGCTGGTCATCCTGCTGTTGCTGAAAGAGTAGTCGTTTTTCCCTTCTGTAGGCAATTAAACCCATCAGTCCAAACCAGCGAAACAAAAGAGAACATCTCTCTCTCAACCCTGACACTGATTAGTTTTTTTTATTGATTTTTTTTTTTCTTCATGGTTTTGGTCAGTAATTCATATGTGACTTGAATGTTCTTGGGAGTAAGTTGGATACCCTTTGATAGTACATACAAAGTTGTTACAAATTTAAATGGTAGTGTCTAGTGTCCTTCCCAAGCACATACAGGTGCTTGAAAAATATTCCATAGCTTGATCATTCTTCTTGAAATTTGACTGGCTTGCTTTCCTTTGTTACTGCTATTTTAGTACTTCAGTGTTCTCAGGAGGAGCTGCACCTAGCAGGCTCCCCCTCACACTCCTCAAATGTAATGGACTTCATTCCCAAAAGCACGTGGTCTAAGAAGCCCTTGTTCAATTCTACTCTTACTCTTTGGTTATCGTTGTGCAAAGATTACATTAATGCCATCCAGGATTTTCAGCCAGTGGTTTTCTTTCACTGCAATCTGATTACAGCTTAAAACTGTATCTATAGGTGTTATAATTCCTATAACGATGATATTAAGTGTTGTCATATTTTTGGGTTATGAACATAAAGGAATACTAGTTGGGAATGAGATAGATATGAGTGATATATGCCACCTCCCTAAAAACATGTGAGCATGCTGCTCTGTAGGCTGCCAGAAAATGCAAGTGTTCAGGAGTTTTTCTGCTGCGTAATCATTTCTTTCAGGAGGTTGCTTTTGGGGTAATAACCAAATTTCCCTTCCTACTTCTTAAAAAAGGTGGCCCACAATGCAAGTCTTGCTTTCTTGGCCTTCAGCTATTGTCTCCAGAACTTTGGTGGTGTGAGGAACCAGACATATTAACTAGTCGTGCTTGACAAGTAAATAGACATTGACAAAAATATGCCTATCACTTCCTGTAAATCCTAACTTGCTTTCAGCCCATGAGGCTTTGCAGTCAGTTTAACCTCCAGGAGAGTCACACTTTAACCCAACAACTATTTGTTTTTTGTTTATTTACCATACTTTTGCTTTTAGCATGTTTTATTGCAATGATCTGATATAATGAATCTGCTCTGACTGTGTGAGATAGGTAAGTATTGGTATCTCCATTTTATCAATGTAATAGCCATGGTATGGAGTTCTGTGCCACGAACAGGCAATGTCCCTGTGGCCATCAGGAACAGAGACTGGGAGAAGGCTTCCCATGAACAACTGCAGGCTTTCAAGTGTAGGACGTGTCCTCTTCTGTAGTTGTCTACTTGTATTCAGAGGTTTTGAATCCTTTGAATTCTCCACTTTTGGAGTAGCTTTCATAGCTTTTCTGATCAGTTCATTCTTTCGCAGGTGACATAACAAAATTTGGCCGTGGGGATTCTGCCTCCCCTGCTCCTGCTACCACGCTCGCCCAGCCGCAGCAGAACCAGCCGCAGACTCACCATACAGCTCAGCAGCCATTCCTCAACCCAACCCTGCCCCCAGGGTACAGCTACACTGGGTTACCTTATTATGCTGGTGTGCCCGGTGTACCCAGTGCATTCCAATATGGGCCAACCATGTTTGTAAGTGTGTCAGCCTAAACTGTAACCCTCCCTGCGTGCCTCTCTGGTTTTGATCTGTCCAGCCCAAACCTTCTACATCTTAGAATCACAGGATGGTTTGGGTCAGAAGGGACCTTAAATATCATCTAGTTCCAACACCCCTGTCATGAACAGGGGCACCTTTTACTAGACCAGGTTGCTCAAAGCCCCATCCAGCCTGGCCTTGGACACTTCCAGGGATGGGGCAGCCACAGCTGCTCTGGGCAACCTGTGCCAGGGCCTCACCACCCTAATCATAAAAAACATCTTTCTTATGACCAATCTAAATCTACCCTCTTTCAGTTTAAAGCCATTTCCCCTTGTCCTGTCACTACAGACCCTGGTAGAAAATGTTTCTGTGTCTTTCTTATAAGCTCCCTTTAAGTATTGAAAGGCCACAATAAGGTATTCCTGGAGCCTTTTCTTCTCCAGGCTGAACAACCCCAACTTTCTCAGCCTTTCTTCATAGGAGAGGTGTTCCATCTCTTTCATAATTTTCATGGCCCTCCTCTGAACTCACTCTAACAGGTTTGTGTCTTTCTTGTGCTGGGGGCCCCAGAACTGGATATAGTACTCCAGGTGGGGTCTCATGACAGCAGAGTAGAGTCATATTTCCCAGTCTGCAAGGGATCTCCAAAAACATGCAAGCGTGAGAAAATACCTGCAGTCTCTTCCCCAAGAAAACAGGAAATTTACAAGTCCAGAACTCATGCATTCCTGTGCAGGTCACTATAAATAGCAGACAGCTGCAGCTCATAGACTTGGTGTTCCTGAAAGCCTATAGAACCCTCTGGATAGTCAAAGGGAGACCCAAAGCTGAATTAAAGAGCCAAGGATGCCTAGGAAATCCTTTTGAGGATGGAGGAGACCATTAAGTCAGAGAGCATGGAGTCTTGGGAGAGAAAATGTTATTTGGGAAGAGGTGATGCTCCAAGCAGAAAGGTAAATGAGTCTATTTTAGGGCCCTGTAGGAGTGTGTCTTATGGAACAACCTCGGGCAGCAGTTGGTGTTTTATTTGATTCTGTGGGTGAGAATTTGCTGTTTACAGTCAGCGTATGAAAGAGGTTTAATAAGGCGAAGTGCTGGGTCCTGCACTTGGGTCACAACAACCCCCTGCAGTGCTACAGGCTGAGGGCAGAGTGGCTTGAGAGTTTCCTGGTGGTAAAGGACCTGGGGGTGCTGGTCAACAGCTGGCTGAACATGAGCCAGCATGTGCCCAGGTGGCCAAGAAGGCCAATGGCATCCTGGCCTGTATCAGGAACAGTGTGTCCAGTGGGACCAGGGAAGTGATTGTCCCCCTGTACTCAACACTGGTGAGGCCACACCTCTAGTGCTGTGTCCAGTTCTGGGCCCCTCACTGCAAGAAAGACATTGAGGTGCTGGAGCACATCCAAAGAAGAGCAACGAAGCTGGTGAAGGGTCTGGAAAGTAAGTCCTATGAGGAGCAGCTGAGGGACCTGGGGTTGTTTAGCCTGGAGAAAAGGAGGCTCAAGGGGGCTTTATTGCTCTCTACAACTACCTTAAAGGAGGTTGTAGCCAGGTGGGGATTGGCCTCTTCTCCCAGGCAACTAGTGACAGGACAAGAGGACATAGCCTCAAGCTGCACCAGGGGAGGTTCAAGTTGGACATCAAGAAGAATTTCTTCACAGAAAGGGTTGTTAAGCATTGGAATGGGCTGCCCAGGGAGATGGTGGATTCACCATCCCTGTAAGTGTTCAGCTGGATGTGGCACTTAGTGCTATGGTTTAAATGGCATGGTGGTGTGTGGTTGAAGGTTGGACTTGATGATCTTGGAGGTCTTTTCCAACCTTAATGATTCTATGATTCTAAAGAAATACGCAGCCTGTTCTGAGAGAGGGTTGTGCTTCAATTAGAGGGGCAGCTCTGGCAGAAAACTTGGGGCTTGCATAAAGCAATTTACTTCTGGAAGTGTGAGTGCCATGTCCCTTGTCAGCCCAGTGCTCTGAATTCCAGATTGAATTTTCCATGTGAAGAGGTGACTTCTCCACTAGATGGCAGAGGGAGCTTGTGTTTTGTGTGCTGTTCCCTGATTAACAGTCTTCTGTTTCCTTCCTTTGTCCAGGTACCCCCAGCATCTGCTAAACATCATGGAGTCAACCTTAACACCACCTCGACTCCTTTTCAGCAAGCAAGTGGCTATGGGCAGCACGGCTATGGAGCAGGTATGCTTACCACTGTGCTTTTCACATGCATGTCTGCAGAGCTACATGCTCGCTGTAACACCTTGTCTTGTACACACTGGCAGGCTATGATGACTTAACACAGGGAACAGCAGCTGGAGATTACAGCAAAGGAGGCTACAGTGTGTCATCTCAAGCACAAAACAAATCTGCTGGCACTGGACCTGGGAAAGGTAACATGAGGTTGCTCTTGACTGGGATTTAGTAGGGACAACTCCCAGTGCTTTATAGTCAATACAGCAGCCAACTCTAAACAGGGTCATGATCCAAGCTGTTTCTCCATCTCCCATATACAAAATGCTTTATAATGGCCCAAGTGTTCCTTCTAAACCTCATGGCTGAACTTTGCACAAGGATTTCTGTGGCTGATGTGCAGCTTTGTCCACAATTATACATTGGAGAAATGATGAGTTGTTACCTCTGACAAAGTTTTTTTGCTGAAGAATATAGTGATCCTGTAGCAGTGCTGTGTTTTTGAAGCCTAAGCAGTTGAATGCTGTTGCTGAAATAGTCCTCTGCAAAATGAAGACTAGATTGAGTTTCTTGGTAGGCACTTGAGGTAGCCATGTGTTAGGGTTGAACAGGGCACTTCACACATCTCTGGGCTGTTTAGCTTCTGTCTGTACACCCTGTAATGATTCCTAAAAGCCAGAAAATAACTCTAAAACTCTTTTGAGTATTAGACAGGAAAAAGCACTCATTTATTTACAACATGCTGGGTGCATAGGAATCATTTCCAAAGTATGCCCTTGAATTACAGAGGTTCTACAGTTTTTATACTAAAAATATCTAGACATTACATCATCTGTTACACCCACTTCCCAAACCATCCCTCCCACAGTACCACCTTCGCCTCCCGAATTTGAGTCGGTGGTCCTAAAATGTCCACCCCTTCATCTTCATCTTTGTCTTCCTCGCCATCTCTGTCCTCCTTGGAACGGCTTCAAGGCCTCTGGGTAGCTTTGACTACTTATATCAAGTGGTGTGACTCTGTTATGTCTCTTTCTTAGTACTTTTCTACAGATAAGTAGCTCTTCACCTTGGTAAAATCTTTTGTCTGTTGAAATTCTTGACAAGGAATGTTAAACAGCATTTTCAGAAATCTTGTACGAAGGTACTTAGTGAGCTAAAAGTACTAATGAGCTATACTAAAATCTTATATAATATAGATTTTAAGGCATCAGTAACTCATTGCCTTGTTTCATGCCTGGAAATGTTTCCTTTGTGACTGTAAAGGCTGAAGAATTTACACAGCTCATATGAAAGCTTTATTCTGTACATGCTGGTTAGACCTGAGAAGTGTGTATTTAAATGCTTAACACTAACTAGTTCATCCTTGGACTTAAGCAAATACCAAGCATTTGCTGTGCATTTGAAACACCATCTTCACCAAGAGGTGATCACGCTCTCCTCTGTGGAGGAGCAAACCAAAAAGGAAGGGAACAACCGTAGAGCAGTGCACACCCTCTGAGCCCAGTCCTCTGATTTACTGGCCAAAGGAACAGCTGATTTTATTCTGATCCAAGTGAAATTATTAGAGCCAGTCTTTATAAGACTGAATAAGTGGCTGGTTTGAGAATCACCTTGCTGGTGAGTGTTTCTGAGCCTGTTATGGTACCAGACTGTCCAGGTGGAAGCCAGCCTGAATCAGTGTTATAATTTTCTCAGGGCAGAGGAGCATCACAGACCTCACCCTTCTGCAAGATGTAAAAGGACAAGGGCTCAAATGTGTAGCAGATGCTGAGTCTCATTGCTTAGTGCACTACTGGAAAGCTCTTGAATGCTACAGTAGAGCCAAATGCACCCCTAATCTTAGGGGAAAGCTGTCTTTTTGTTAGCTTAAATGAGTGGTGCAACCAGCTGCTGCCTGGTGAAGTGCATTTGAATCCAAGTGGTAACCACTGGGTTGTGAATGTGGGTGATTTATCCCAGTGGACTGGTTTCCTGCTTTGCAGTGGGAGTGAGGAACCGAGCCATTTCTTCTGTTCCCATATGGAGTACTGTGGGTCTGACAGCATGGAGAACCCCACCGGGTGGGCCAGCAGCAGGGTGTGGGGTGCAATGGTTGCAGACAAAGGTGCATCCACTTAGGCTGCCAGAGGTGCTGGGAGAAAAGCATGGGGCTCGTGCTAGGTGGTGGTTGACTTTCCCATTCTTGATGGATATTTTTTGTTTTCCAGGTGTTTCTGTGACCTCAAGTAACACAGGTGTGCCTGATATCAACGGCTCAGTCTATAACAAGACTCAGGTGAGTGATGCTGGACCCTCCTCCCCTGTGGTCTGCGGCCAGGCTGATGGCTCCCCTTGTGGAGGAGGCTAGGGCCATTCCCAGACCAGTTGGTCTCAGGGTCAACAGGCTGTGTCTTCTTATACTGTCTCTGCTGTTGGAGAGGAGTCTCGCCCTTTGTCCCACTGCTTCTGCCATGTCAGCTCCTGACGGCAGCTACTGGCATAGGTGCAGCACTTGCTGCCCAAGCTGCCCCACACGTGCTGTGTCCTGGGTGCAAATGAAGTGTGATGGCACTAACATTTTTGGTAAAAGTATCCCCCAAAGCAAGTGAGTTGAGAGGCTGGGTTGAACTTTGGTCAGAGGAAGGAAAAGTAGTTCTTGTGTTTTTGTTGAGCTGCCCTGGGTAGGTCAAGTAATTCCAGCCTGAGCCCCCATAATGTGTGAAGAACTAATTTCAGGCAGCTGCTGCCATCCCATGTCCCACTGAATAAAAAGAGGTCAGGGAAAAATGGGCATAGTAGCTGTGGAAATAAAAAGTTGAAAGCATTAGTGCAGAAGAACAGATGAGAAAAGAAACTGAAACTCATCTGATGAAGTGCTTTCAGGTGTAACTTGGCTTGCTCATGGGGTTGGTGAAAGTTTCAGGTGATATGTCTGGGGCACTCTTGTTCTTGTTTGGTCACCATTGGGCTGCTCACACCAGTCTCTGATGCTGTCCTCCTCACCTCCTGTGCAGACATTTGACAAGCAGGGATTCCATGCTGGCACACCGCCTCCTTTTAGCCTACCCTCTGGTCTCGGATCGACAGGGCCCCTGAACCCTGGTGCTGCCCCAGGTTATGCTCCAGCCCCGTTTCTCCATATCCTCCCTGCACATCAGCAACCTCATTCCCAGATGCTGCATCACCACCTTCAGCAAGATGGGCAGGTGAGTCAGCCACTTCCACATCTACAGTGTGACTGAGGGCAGATTCCTATCAGGGTCTTGGGGGTTTTTGCTTTGCTCATTGGGAAAGGGCCTTGACAGCAATTGTAGACTAATAGCCTTGATGCTGTTGACCAGCTTGGGGAGGGAATCTCATTAAGTTCAGCAAGGGAAAATGGCAAGTCCTACCCCTGGGGAGAAACAACCCCATGCACCACTATATGTTAGGGGCCAAAGCAGTTTGGCAGAATAGGCCCTGAGCATCCTAGTGGACACCACGTTAACCATGAGCCAACAATGTGTCCTTGCTGCAAAGGTGGCCAATGGGATCCTGGGCTGCATTAGGAGGAGTGCTGCTAGCAGGTTAAGGGAGGTGATCCTTTCCCTCTGCTCATCATTGGTGAGTCTTGTGTCCAGTTCTGGGCTTCCCAGTACAAGACAAACATGGATGTATGGCAGAGTCCAACAAAGGGACACAAGGATGATGAAAGGACTGGATCATCTCTCTTATCAGTAAAGACTGAGAGAGCTAGGACTGTTCATCCTGGAGAGGAGAAGGTTCAAGGGGGATCTCATCAATGTATATATATACCTGAAGGGATGGAGCTAGGCTCTTGTCAGTGGTTCCCAGCAACAGGACCAGAGGCAATGGGCACAGGCTGAAACACAGGAGGTTCCCTCTGAACATCAGGAAACAGTTTTTTACTGGGATGGTGACAAAGCACTGGCACAGATTGCCCAGGGAGGTTGTGGAGTCTCCATCCTTGGAGCTGTCTGGTCCTGAGCAACTAGCTCTAGGTGACCCTGCTTGAGCAGAAGGATTGGACAAGATACCTCAAGAGATCCCTGCCAACCTCAGCCATGCTGTGTGATTCCATGAAGAGACCATCCTAATGTGGGGTGTGGAGAGATGGGCTGTGAGGTCTGAAGCTGAGGCAGGCATTGATGTCCCCTGGCTGTGGCAGGAGAGCAAGATGTGAGCACTTGTACTGTAATTCTGGGGGGAAAATCAAGCATCCCCTTGCAGGTTGCATGTTGGCTCCAATTTCTGATTTGGTTTTACCAGCCCATGTATTTCCTTTCCTCACTGTAAATGTTTCCAGGAAAAAGAGTGTTCTGCCTTAGAATCCAGAAATAAGAAATTACTTCTCTTTCTGAATGTGTGGCATCCTTGGCTGGTGCACTGCCTCTGTTCATCTTGGGAGAGCTCCTTTGTTGTCCCATCCTGCTCCTCTCCTTCCTTGTCCTTGAACCTGTCTTGGGTAGGAGGTGGTGGGACGGTGAGTCCCCACACTTCTGTTTGGTTTCTCTGTGACTGTCCTGGATTGCAGGATTCAGCAATGTTGCAGAGCAGAAACAAATCCATTGCTGCGTTGGGTGGGAGCTCTTCAGCTGATGTATGGACAGGCTTGCTTTCCTGGGAGTGCTGGTGCTCATCTCTCCTTTCTTTCCAATTTCTAGGGTGGATCTGGCCAACGCAATCAACCCAGCACCATGCAGCAAAAATCTCAGGCTACCAAAACCACCTATGGCACTTCTCCATACTGGACAAACTAAATCTGAAACCAGGGAAGGGGGAGAGAATCAAAGGAGAGGAAAGGAAAAAAAAAAAAAAAAAGAGAGAGAAAGAAAAAAGCCAAACCCCATTCCTAGAATTAATAGAAGTAACTGCTTAGCCAAACGTCTGTGCGGGGAGAAGTTCAGCCAGCCAGCCATCCTCTGTGTGACTCGCCTACTTCCTCTTTGAGTTGCTGTTGTATGTAATATATTTATGTATGTATTTGTAAATGTAATATAGCCTAAATGTGGTTTTCTGCATCTTGCAGCCTGTTTTATTTTCTTTGTAGGAAAATTTATTATTAATTTCCCATCTGCACCAGGGCATCCTTCTATTTTTTTAAGCTTTATAACTGTCGAAAGACAAACTGTGCCATTTTTTTGGAGCTGGAGCCCATTTATTTAATGCAGTTCTAAATTCAGGCAAATAAGGAGACCTGCCTTCCCCCCCCTCCAAAAAAAAAAAAAAAGGAATCAAGATGTGTCCTGTTGGTTTGATTTCTGTCCTCAATCCCCAATATAACTGTTACTTTAAAGAGATAAAAAAGGGTCGGGGGGAAGGAAAAAGAAAATTTTTGTGAGTTTTCCCCTTTCTTTCATCTCCTCCCTCCCTCCTGCTGTGGAAGATGAACTTTCATGGGCAGTTTTTCCACTGTGGCCCTGAGCTGCAGCTTGACCTTTTAATTTTCTATTAATAAAAACCTTTTTTTTTTTTTGTTTTGTGTTTTTTTGGTTGATTGGGAGTTTTTGTTGGGGGCGAGTTGTATGTTTTGGTGTTGGGGTTTTTTTTCTTTCTCTAGCAAGAGACTTTGGATGGCTCAGTGGGTCCTGCAACTTCCTTTCCATCATTATAGGTCAAAACTATGTAGCGGTTTCTTAAATAAAAGTATAAGCTCTGTCTTCTACCTCTTTTTGCCTTGAGCCACCCTGCCAGGAAAGACACAGCTACTTGATGGAAACTTCACTTGTCCCTCCCCATTTTTTTCTAAAACAAGACCCTGGAGGCAACTCCTGGTCCTTCTTGTTCTGCACCAGTGTGGTGAATGTTTTAATTTTATTTCTTTTTAGCCCTTCCTCCACCTAATAAATATCTGAGCATATCACTGGTGTTTGTCTGCATTTTCAAAGGCCTCGAGCAGTTTTGCTTTTACAGCCTGTCCTTTTATACCTCTTCCTCCTGGGAGGGTAAGAGCAGGAGATGGATCTGCAGGGGATGCTGAATACCATGACAAAGGTGAGCACACCTTAGTACTGAGAGCTCATAGGCAGTTGCAGTGGGGATGGGATCCTGGGCAGCACTCCTGCCGCAAGCATCATGTCTCTGCATTTGCTGTCCTCTGGCATTGTGCTCTGTCTTTGTCCCTGTGGAGCAGCCTGGAATGGTAAGGAGGGAGCACAGCAGCACTGCCCTCCTTCTTTTGCCCATGAAGTCTATGGCCTCCACCAGGAGGAAGGTCAGTGGTGAGGGCACCTGAGGGATAGCTCCTGCCCCAGGCTCATCCTCCTGAGCATCCAGGCCTTATGCAGCAAAGGAGGTGGGTAAATATGAAACCATGTGTGTCCATTCAAGAGGTAATGGGCTTTTTTTGCACTTCCCAAATCTCTTTCCTACAAGGGAAAAAAAAATAAAAAATTGTTTCTACCATGAGGACCACTTTTCTTAGTCACACTTTCATCAGCTCCCAGATTCTGTGGGATCTAGTTGGCTGGGAAGAAGTCACCCAGACTTCCTCCTACCTCTCGAGCAACACAACAGGAACTGCACTGGCATTTGATAATGGTCAAACTTCAGCAGCTGCTGAAAGCCCTTGGCAGCTTCTGTCTCACTGCCACTGGTTTTGGGACCTGAAATGTTTCTGCAGGCTGAGGACTTGCTGTCTCCTCTCCCTCCTCTGGCAAGCCTAAACAGGATGTTTTCCCCTTTCCTTATCCTGTCAGCTCCAGCAGGGCTCTTATGCAGAAATTTCCTCTCTAAGTTCCACAGTCTGATGGTAGAGCCAAGGTTGTTCTGCTGCACTTGGACATTAAGGAAATGAAGAAAAAACCCCACTCCGCTCCCCCCAAAAAACCCCAACCACTGCACAAGTGGCAGCCAGGTTTGCCCAGTGCAGGGCAGCTTGGAGCATTTGTCCTGGCTTTGGTACAAAACCTTTTGCTAGATTAGGAAGCTATTGGCAGCTCAGGGCAGGCTGGTGCTATAGAAGCCAGGCAGGAGCTACAAGCAGGCCCGATTCCAGTCAGAAGGCCCAGACAGCACCATCTTTCTCAGTCTCATTCCCCAATACAGAGACTCCTCTAGGCAGGGAGCTCTGCAACGCCATCACCATTCCTCCAGTATGGCTGTGAAGCAGAAACATTCAGGCCCCAACCACATTTGACTCAGCAGTTGCTGTGCTGCCAACAATGTCAATTGTAGCAAATGCAATGCCTGTACATGTGTCCTGCTAATTTTAGCACTGCAAAAACAAAAACTTCTGCACTCTTGAGCCATCAGGGAACAGCATGGGCCAGGCAGGACAAGCACTCCGAAGGGGTAGTTGGCAGTGATTACCTCAGTAACTCTGTGACTCTTCTACATGAGGTCAAAGTACCCTGCCCCAAAAAACAAGCTCCCCCCCACCTTGTCTGACCATTTCAGGAGTGTCATGCTCCTGCCTTCCCAAGGAACTGGCTACCAGCAGCACCCCAGCCCTATGGCAGCAGCACCTTTACCCCAAGTCCTTGCATCTCTGCTGCAGTCATATGACACCATGAACTGTCTTCTCCCTGCTCTTTCCTTTGCTGACTTAAGGTGAATAAATAAATAAATATAAAAGCAAAGCCCATGGCCTTTTACCAAAGTGCTTTTCCAAATCAGTTTCTTCTTTACTCTTAGGTGTAGGGAGCTGTCAAACAGCAGCTTTATTTTTCCAAATAGCCTTGTAGATATTTATGTATATTTATAGTGATACCTTGGAGTTTTGATGTTTTAATTTTTTTATTTTTGTAGACCTTAGAAGTAGTTATGTAGTAAATGTAGATTTTAGAGTAGCAGCATATTATCCCTTTACCCTTAACACACCAGCTCAAACCCCTGTTACCCATTCCCATATCAATTCCCTAAATTCCATAGCCTGTTTAGTCTCTTTTTCAAGGTAGAATTGTAGAAGAACACCCTAACCCTACGGAACAAGATATAGCCATAGACCCAACAACCTTCAGGCCTAGAATTCTGGAAGGCCTCCAAGGACATTACGTGCTCTGAGGAAGATGAAGATGAAGAAGAGGGGGTCCCAAAACGCCCCCAGACCCAATTCTCAAGAGGCGTGGCGGGGGCAGAACCTGGGTGGTGGCTGGACTGGATTGGGCAAAAATCATTATAAAAACTGTGGACATCTGTATTTCGGGAGCGCGCTGGGGTATTCCAGAAAGCCTGGGGGCTCATTAAAACTTTTGTATCCTTATCTTATCTCCTACCTAATTTGGCTTGGAGTCTTTTTTTCCCCACAGCCATTTAGGCAACAATAGGTATTGATACTGGAGCACCACTGAATTTGTGAACAGCTGTTATTCAAAGCTTTAACCTGTGCAAATAAACCAACTCAATTAACAGGGAAGTAACAGTACTGGGATATTTTCATTTCACATTTTTATTAGTAGACAGATGTGCAGAAAAGACAAAATATAACTACTGAAGGAGAAGACAACACAAAAATGCATCAGTTAATTGTTTCTGGTAAATTATACTGAAGAAAAAAGGAAACCATCTAGGATTTCAGTTTAGAAAACTACTAAGAAATCTAGTGTACCCTGCTGGTTTCAGAATGGTTGAAAACTGCATTTGAAAGGGTAGGTAGTTGCAAATGTAAACACTAATACTGACTGAGCTGAGAAAAAGGTTAAGAAAAAAACCAGAATACAAAGATCAGGTAAACATTTTTTCACAATTTCTTAAATAGTTTTAAAAACCCCAAACACAATACCCTCATATTTCAGTTGGTATCCCAAAAAAGGAAACCAGCAAGTCAACAAGAAGTGACACTGCACAGGGCAGTGGAGAAGAGAAATTAGTCTGATTACTGTCAGAGTTCTCAAAGTAGGTTGCTTTTTGTCTTTAAGAAAGGGTAATAGAAGAGTCATGATAATGCATCTTACGACACCAAGCTTCAAAATACAACTCAATGGAGAGTATATAGTGAAGATGGTAAAAAATACAAGGGAAATCCTGAAAGATGCAGTATCATTTCAAACCAAGTCATCAGCACAGCCAGTGTTGCCGTACTCTGCTCCTTCATGCCCCTAACAGCCCCTCAAAGCTGGAGACCTATGTTCCTGTCCCAGTGTGGCCCTGAGACCAGTCCTGCATTCATGAGTGACAGAGGCTCATTTTCTAACACTGGCACTGCCCTCACAGGGCTGGTATGAAGCTGGGGTGTGGGGGTGTTCCCCACACTGTAACTAGATGCAAAGGAGCCCTGCTGCTGGCTCCAAAAAGCACCAGGGACTGAGTTAGTCCCTGATGGAAAGATGGCCTGAAGGAGCCCATGTGGGATGCTTTAGGAGGGGTCCAGCTGCCTGTCCAGGTAACAAGCAAGCAGGAGGGCAGACCATCACATAGAGCACTGGGGACAAGGTTTCACCACTTGGGCTACCTTCACTCTGCCAGGGGCAGAGGGACGCACACTAACACACCCTGGGGCAGGGACTGTCCCTGCTTCAGCAAATCCCAGCCAAGCAACATTTTGAAAACAAATCTGCCTTGCTCACTTCAAACAGAGCTCCACAGGCCTTCCTCCCCTCCCCAATGGCTGCCTTCCCCTTCTCTCCAGGCAGCACATCTTGCTCACTCTCATCTCATTTCTCACCCTGGGACACAGCCACCAAGCTGATCACAAAACAAAGTTTACTCTAGAGCCTACAGTTCTTATCAGGGTGACTGCCTCTGTACCTGTCAAAACAAAGGGGCTCACCCAAGCAGGACCAGCACCTCCGATCTCCTCCTGGAGCTGCCAGGGCTAAGCAAAGGAGGGCACAGCTGGCTGCCAATCCAAGGATCATGTGAAAGTGAATTCAGGGCACTGCATCACAGCTGAACAAGAGTACACTGCAATGGGGTGAAGGTGCTGAGGGATTGTGGAAGAGGATTCTGCACACAGGATCAGGGCATCAGCTGAAGCATGCTGCTGAAGAGCCTGTCAAACCCTGCTGCTGGCTTTCTCTTCCAACCTGAAAGCACTGTGTAACCTTCTCCTGTAGGGCTGCACACATCCACCTGTGCCCCAGCCAGCCAGGCAGGGGAGAGCCCAGCACCCATCCACCCCTCTGCCCCATGTCCCAGCAGCCACTGCAGGTACAGGAACAGACTGGCTGCCCCAGGCAGGTGGCAAAGGGAGCTTTGTCTTCTGTCAACCCTACAGAGCTACAGCAGAGCTGCATTTACCAACAGGTGACCAACATAAGCAATAGAAAAAAGGCTCAGGCCAGCACTGGACTTGGGCTGGAAGAAGCAAAGGCTACTAGCGAGCACTGGGGAAGGAGACTCTCACATGGCCAAAAAGTTCAGGATGAATGCTGACCCACTGGGCGGCGGGATACACTTCTGTTTTCCTCCCTCACTAGAGGGGCAGCTGGCAGCAGATCCCAGTAGAATGGAGAAATTGAACTTTTTCAACCCCAACCTAGTCTGAAAAAAAAACAAATAATGCAACCCAGGGCTCAGTTGTAGAGATGTGAAGTGGTGTTTATATTTTAAGGTTCATATCACAAGCCTTTTTCAGAGACAAAGCTGATTGTGTCCTCTGCGAATCCAGGAGCCAGCTATTTCCTACCTTGAACAGGCTAAACAGATTCCTGTACCTTTCAGTAACATCCCATCAAGCTCAACACACAGTAGCTTTACACTCTCCACCCCACACCTCATTAAGGAAAAGCCACCATCACAAGGCTAAATGAATGTACACATGCTATTATTGTAAATGGAGTAGCTAAACCCTAGCAATTTACTCAGTGTGGATATTTTTCTTCCCAGTAAATGCAGCACTGGAACACCTGAAAATCCATCTTCCAATGGTTTTGTTCCAGCCTTAAATGCATCAAACATCTCAATGCAAGACTGAATTTAATTCAAGAATCTAAACACAAGCAAACCTGTTTTGTTGTATTTCAAGTGGAAAAGGAACTTTCTTTTTTAAAAAGAAATCATAATACAGTGATGAAAGGGTTAAGAATGTAAGAATTCAGACATTCTGTGGAGGGTCTCTAAGAGGTCCATAAAAAAGGAGCAAACAGATCCATACAACAGGAGACAGCAGGAGACAAAGCTTTCTTGATCCCTCCCCTCCCACCACCACTTTTTTGCTGGACTGCTGCTAGGTTACCACTGCTCCCTTCTGGCCTGGACAGGGCAGTACAGGGGCATAGAGGGAGCAGGTCATGACTCCTCATTGCCAGAATCATCATCATCGTAACAGTCGGCATCCTCCTCCTCCTCATCTTCGTCATCAATGTCATCATCGTACAAGTCGTCATAAAGCAAATCTGAACTGTTGTCATTGGAAGGCACTTTAGTTTTGATGCAGTACTCGGCCAGTGTAGTGGGGACCTTCACGCCATCCTTCTCAGCCTCAGCTTTGGTAGCCAAAACCTGTTTCCTGTGGGGAGGAGGACACAGCAACATGAGCAGGGCCATGTGCTGGCAGCAGCGTGGCTCAACTCCCCACCTCCCAGCCAGCCCCTGTCCAGCCCTCCTGGCAGCTCAAAGTCAGGAGAGCTGATGTTAGGCTGAAGCACCACTAGAAACAGACTTAGTTCCTGCAGCCCCAGGCTTGGAAGCACTCCAAGGGTGTTAGCAGCACACATACTCTCAGCAACATATGAAATCAATTATTCTGCAGGACTCCACATTAGAAACCTGGCAGAGCTCAGAGCAAATCCCCTTACATTTGTTACAGAAGGGATGGTCAGGGATTTCCTAAGATGACTTATTGCGGTAGGTTCAGAGATGCCATCCACAGCCATCCTCCACCACTAATGACTTTACCCCAACATACTCAAAACTGCAATTCCCACAAGCATTTGTCATCTCTGAGCTCCCACTGGAGGGTAAGAGCAGTCTGAGCATGTGGCTGTACCCTGAGATGCAGCTGTAACCCCAGCACCACCTGGAGATAGCAGGAAACAAGTGTTTCTCATCACTCCAAGATGGGCTCTGGCTGCTGCCTCTCAGCAGCACTTGGGCTGGGAGGGGAGCAGATGGCAACCTGTACCTTCACTTCCACCCACCTGCTCAGTCTGCCATACTCTGTTTATATAATACATCCAGCTCCACTGAAGCCAATGGAGATGGAGGGGACTAAGATAACCTCCCAGAAAGGTTCTTTGCACAGCTCAGGCCAGCAACTGACTGCCCTGCATAGCTCCAACCAGGGCTATATCCAGCTAGCAGAGTCGATGTAGATGTTGTCTTGCCCCAGGCAAGCATGACAGCATGACAGCAGTCCCAATGCAGTATGGGCCGCCCATTTGCCACTCCACAGCAACCTTGGCTCAAGTTTACATCATCTTCCTATAGCACCTGATGAACCATGAATGTCTTAGCAAAGGGCAGTCAAGACTGAACAGTTCTTCCAGCTAATCAAACCCAGCTGTGGAAGCGCTTGCCAAATCCTACTGATATTACTTTGAATTGGAGGGACAAGATTATGATTCACGAGTGCATTAAGCACAGAATTAGTAGGATGAAGGCAGTTTGAATCACATCCCAAGCAATGCAAGCAACACTCAAAGGCAAGCAGGGACTTTGACAGGAATTTAATAGCAGCCAATAGGTTTTGCTGAGCATCATGCTAGATTAGTCTGAAAAAGAACAATACGAAGACAGATCAGTCCAGTCCTCCTGCTCCAGAAGTTTGCACCATTTCTGTCCAGAAGCATGGACTTGGAATAAAGCTGTAAAATTAATTTTGAAAGGTGCAGCCACAGCAAGAAGCTGGTTGCAGCAAATTCTGAAAGCAGCCTATGTCATGTGATTCAAAGCAGGAGGCCAATAGCACGGCATCACACACAGCAAAGCTTACCTTATGATTTCAGCATACTCCTTGTCTTTTCCTTTACTGTCCCTCCATTTCCTGAACATGACTGATGCATCCACATTGGCAGGAGAGAATGTGTTGGGCTCATTAAGCAAAGAGATTACACTCAGTAAGATAGTCCTGAAAAAGGTAATAATGACAGCAGAGTCAGACCTAACACATTCATGAATTCTGCATGCTGAAAACTTCTTAAGGTGATGCATCAGAAACACGTTTAAAGTCAAAACTTAAGTGAAGAATAATGAAGCACCAAAGCTGCTCTATCACTACTGCCCTCTCTGTCTGTACAGAGGAGAGAAAATATAACGAAAGTTAACGGGTTGAGATAAGGACAGGGACAGATCACTCACCAAATACTGTCACAGGCAAAATAGACTTGAATTGAGGATATTTAATTGAATTTATTACTAACAAAATCAGAGCAGGATAATAACAAGTAAAATAAAAACACTTTCTGCCACCCCTCCCTCCTTCCCAAGCTCTACCTCCACCTCCCCAGCAGCACAGTGAGACGGGGGATGGGGGTTACGGTCAGTTCATCACACGTTGTTCCTGCCACTGCTCAGGGAGAGGAGTCCTTTCCCTGCTCCAGCGTGGGGTCCCTCCCACGGGAGATAGTCCTCCATAAACTTCTCCAATGTGAGTCCATCCCATGGGCAACGGTTCTCCATGAACTGCTGCAATGTGGGTCACTTTTCCACAGGGTCAATCCTTTAGCCACAGGCTGTTCCAACATGGGTCCCCCACAGGGTCAAAAGTAGGAAATGTGCTCTAGCATGGGCTCCTCTCTCCACAGACTTCCCATGGGTTTACAACCCTCTTTTGGGCATTCCCCTGCTCCAGCGTGGGTCTCCTCCGTGGGCCGCAGGTGAATCTTTTCACTCCTGTTAACCTCCATGGGCTGCAGGGGCAAGCTGCCTCACCACAGGCTGTACCACAGGCAGCAGGGGAATCTCAGCTCCAGTGCCTGGAGCACCTCCTCCCCCACTGACCTTGGTGTCTGCAGAGTTGTTCACATGTTTTCACTCCACTGTCATTCCTGATTGGCTCGGCCTTGGCCAGTGGTGGGTCCATCCTGGAGCCAGCTGTCATTGGCTTTGCTGGACATGGGGGAAGCTTCTAGTAGCTTCTCACAGAAGCCACCCCTGTAGCCCCTCTGCTACCAAAACCTGGCCACACAAACCCAATACACTAAGGACAATAGTTGAAGTAACAGCAGATACTTATGAACTTCAGACTCTGGTCATCAGTGTAGAGAAGATGACACAATACAAACCTCTAAGACCTAATCTGATGACAGACTATCATGGCTGTACACGTTTGTGACAGAGTATCAGGCAAAGCTTGCATCAGACCAGAATTCAGCTTGTCCATACCACCCATAGATGGTGCAGGGTTGGAAACCTGCTTGGTGAGCCTGTTCCTCATGACATTCATCCTCTCAGCAGAAAGCCAGGCTCTTTGCCTACCCCAAAAATACTACAACTCAAGGGCATCAAATGAGGTTGCACTGACTTCCCTGCCCTGTGTATTAAGAGGTTGGAACTGTGATCAGGTCTCTCAGCCTGTGTGCCAAGACTGCTGTAGCAGCACTTAAAAAACATATGCACTATCTTCCCCTTGCTGTGCTCAACACCCAGGCAAGCTGCCAAGGACCCAGCAAGATTCAACTGCTGGTACTCAGCAAAGGCAGCATGAGCCAGTCACGTAACCCCTGGCAGACAGATAGCCTTCCTGGATTTCTAGCAGCAGCCCAGAACTAGCCAGCTGCCCTGCTCTGCTGGCAGTTACCAGGGACAAACACTACTTCCCTTGCCCAGACCCCTCTGCATTTCCTACAACCCTTTGCACTTCAGAGATTGAGCCTTTTGTTCCTCACACAGTGTCACAACCAACACAAAACTCAACAGCAACTCCCATCAGGCAGCTCTACACACCTGGCCACCTGGCTTTAGCTAACACCACAACAGCTTCACACGTCTGAGGTGATCCTGCTGGCAACAGCTTTCAATTTAAATGGAAGGGAAGAATAAGAGACAAGGAATAAGTCTTGAAATACAGCAGTACATAACAACTGCTTTGCAGAACTTGATTAAAGGAGACTACAGCCCCAACTGTTGTTCAGAGAAGGGCATGCCGAGCACATCACCAAGCATATCATATATCTGGGATACAATTCCAGGAAATGCTTGGCCATTTGGATGAAGTTTCTTGAAAGATTTTGAAACTAAACACTTTCATCTGGCCAGACTGTTCAGAACAACTATCAGGAGAGTCATATACAATTTACTTTCCAAATAATATAATTCAGTAGGAAAAAGAACAGCAGCTCTGGAAAAAGCTGTCTGGTCAGACTGGAATGACAGGCAGAAGAGAAAACATTATTTATTTCAACTCAAGAATTCATTTAAAAGCCTTTGAATTCTCAGCAATCAGGCTGCAAAGCCTGCATGTCAGCAACAGCATCATTACTGTAAAGCAAGCAAAATCTAGAGAAGGCTGAGGACAAGAATTCACATCTGGATATAGCACCTGCTCTACCACACTTCCATCAAGAAAGTGAGGAGAAACCAATTTCCACTACAGTGCCCCACACTCCAAGGTCACTGCAAAGCTACCTAAACACACCAAGGTAATTGTCTATTAGAGGTGAGACTCTCTGCACTCTTCATTCCTGACCAGCACATTAGATCAGCTCCATCACTGTTGATATCCTTAAGAGCTGGACAGTCTCCTCCAACTCAAACCCTGCTGCTGTAGGTAAGCAAGGTGAACAAAGTACAGTAACAGGAAGAGATCCCAACACAGGGGATCTGACAGGACAGAACCATAAAAAAGTCCAACCATGTGTGACTGAAAACATCCTCAGCATCAGATACAAACTACACCAGACTGGATACAGACTGACCCTCTCCAGTACTGTCATGGATCTGTTTCTCCCTTGGGCGAGGTTGTTCTGGCATGTTGTTTCATGCAAGTTGTTTGGATGAAGAGTGGGGATTTCAAGCCCACCTTTGCTTTCTTACATCCCCTACCCCATTCTGGAGAACAGTTGGTGTTTAAAAAAAAAAAGGACAGGTTAGCTTCAAATGCCTCTGGTACTAAGTGATCCTTTGGGTCTTTTTGTCAGGAAGAAAGCTACCTGGCTAACTGCTCAAGATATCGCACTTCAGGAAAGGAGATACACAAATACTGTAAGGCAAACAGCAAGCAGAATAATGCACCAAGTTATTCCTACTGGGCCCAAATACCCAAAAATGTTATTTTCCATTAGTGGTACCATGGAACAGTTTGAAAAATCTAACTGTAGGATAACAATGACTGGGGAAGGGCAGAACATTTGAGATAATTTAAGAGCATGAAACTCAATGAACAGGACAGAAGTCTCCACATTGTTACCCCAGCATCAGGTCACTTCAGAATCAGCACTTCAGACAACTTGATAAGTCCAGTTCCCACCCAGTTCAAGACCTAAAGCTCCCAAAGTCTTAAATTCTGTTCCAAAACTTTCCCAACACAGGCCCTAGTCTTGGAGAGAGATGACAGGCCTTTGAGGTCACTGTTGTACATCAAAGATTCACAGTTACCTGACATTTTGGGTAGGGTTCCACCTCTCGGAGGGCAGCTCTCCACTTTGTGGGTCATCTACAGGTGGGTGAAGAATTGAAATACATACATCTCCATTCTGCAAGACAGAAACAAAAGTTGAGAGTAGCCTGGCTTGAGGCAGAGGTCTGATGACACAACCAAGCCAGCTGACCCAAACTGGCCAAAGGGATATTCCATACCATATGACATCAGCTCAGACATAAAAGCTAAGGAAAGGAGGAGGAAGGGGGGGGGGGCATTTGTTATTTACAATGTTTGCCTTCTGGAACAACTGCTACATGTTCTGAAGCCCTGCTTCCCGGGAAGTGGTCAGACACCACTTGCTGATGGGAAATAGAGAATAAAATCTTTTTTTATTTTGTCTTCACTTCTGCATGCACAAACTGTCACTTTTGCTTTAGTAAACTGCCTTACCTCAACCTATGAGTCATTTTCCATCTTATTTTCTCTCCTCTGTCTGACTGGGAAGGGGAGTGATAGAGCAGCTTGGTGGGTACCTGGTGTCCAGCCCAGGTCAACCCACTACAGTCTTCTTGATGCCCAAACGTGGGGTGAGACAAAGGCAGTTACACATATATGTATTGCATGCCATAGTAATAGTAGTTATTGAGTAGCAAGCTCCTGTGCGGGACATGGAGTTTGTCAGCTGCACTGCTTATCTCTTTATTTTGCTGAGTTTGGGAACATACTAATACAAACAAGCTCTAAGCTTTGCCCTGCCTTGCTGTGCTGGGGGAGTTATTTCATGGACAAGATAAGGGAATACATCTTCCTCCCTACCCAGGATTAATGTGGATGGTTTTATTATGCAGGCTCCTGTGATGGTTTTGGTCTAGGCCTTCCTGGTGACCAGCTTGTAACCAAGGAAGTGGCCATGTACCCAGTATTCCATATGATTTTTACATAAACCAGAGTATAAATAAGTTGGAGATTAGAGACCTCACTCTGCAAGGAACAGTGGGTCCTTGCGCTGGTCTCGCTCATCTAAGGCTGAGGCCTGCAGCGTCCACTGACCTGCCACATGGAGGTTTGGAGAGTGCTGGCCATGTCTGCCAATCCTGCTTTTCTAAGGGACATGGTGAGATCTGTTTTGCTAGTTATTAGTATAGTTCGAGTTTGATTGCGTATATCTGTTCGGTGTCCCTTTTTGTCCCCTTTTGTCCCTTTTTCCCCTTTCCCTTTCCCTTTGGGGGGTGTTTGGATTCCCTTTTGCTGTGTACATAGCATCTTAACTGTATATAACTGTAATATATGTAAATATATATATTTTTATATAAGTAGCTTGATTTTGGGTTCTTTAATTTTTTATAGTTTTTTTCCTTTGCCCTAAGTGAAGAAGGGAGGGGGAAGGGGTTTGCTACTGTGAGTTCGGGCATTTGGCAGGGAGCCAGGTCTGAACTATCACAGCTCCTGAGGTCCTTGATCATCCTTATGTGAGCTGTTTAATACCACTAATTAATACTGTTAGCACATTATGGGGTTTGTGGAATCTGGTGTTGTCCTGGTGTAAGAGAAAACAAATCTTGGGTGAGGCAATATTGAAATGTGCCCTGAAGCATCTGGTCCCTGTGTGTCAGTGTGTGTGGAAGGATTTGGGCAGGTTCCTAGGGCAGTTAACACCTCCCATTTCATGGGACTTCACACCTGAACAGGTATTCAACCCTAGCAAACTGACACATCACCTGATAGAATGGTGCCTTGCCTATCCCAATCAAAACCAGCAGCTTCTCACCCTGTACTGGGGCCTGGCCTGTGCCTATTGAGCCACAGTTCAGTACTCTCAGAGTACTGTAGTGGAGGCAGGGACCCAAATCATAATGGAGGACACTCTGGCTGAGACAGGGACTCAAACCACAACTACAGTCATTGCCCCAGTAGTGAAAAAGTGGACAAAGAGAACAAAACATCCATACCATCGATTTGAAAGGGAGGAAGGGAAGGAGGAGGAGGAGAAAGAACCAAGAAAAGAAGGGTCTGATCAAGAAGCCAGTCCTTCAACAAAGAAACTGGAGAAAGGAATGAGACAAATCAAGCAGGAAACCTAAGTTACCCAGTCCCTGACCTTATCAGAACTTCGAGACTTGTGAAAAGATTACAGCCCCCAGCCAGGTGAGCAGATTTCTACCTGGCTGCTTCGATGTTGGGATAAAGGGGCTGACAGTCAGAAATTGGAAGGTCATGAAGCCCAACAGCTGGGATCCCTTGACAAAAGTCAGGGAATTGAAAAATTAATTGGAAAAGAGGCAGCAATTTGCAGTCTCTGGAGACAGCTCCTCTCAAGTGTGAGGGCAAGATATCCATTTAAGGAAGATCTTGTGAACTCCCCAGAAAAGTGGACCACTGCAGACAAAAGTATCCAGTACTTGAGAGAATTAGCAGTGCTGGAAGTCATCTATAGTAATCTAAAAAGTGATGACATCCCTAAAGATCTAGGCCATGTGGAGGAAAGTGTTTCAAAGTGCCCCTGCAACATATTCCAACAGCTTGGCAGCAATGTATTAACAGGAAATGGATACACTAACTCTGGAGAGAGCATCTTCCTGGCTCCAAAACTTTGAAGAAAATCTCTGTACCTCCTCATGCCTATGGGCCAGCACCTCAGCTCTCAGGAGCAACTCAAGAAATCAGTCCTCTCCTGCCCTGGTCAGAGGGAAATGAAGCTCCAAGTGCAGGCCATATGGTGCAATCTGGTTCTTTCTGCAGGGCCAGGGGGAGGACATGAAGAAGTGGGATGGTGAATCCACCTTTAAGCTGGAAGCCTGTGTACATGAACTGAGAGGGAAGGGAGCTGTTAAGAAGGGGTCACCCAAGAAAGCTGTCAGTGTAGTTGCTGCAGACACAAGAAGGCAATCAGTGATCTCCCAGACATAGAAGAACTGAGATCACCTCCCTTGATCCTGTTGAGGGGACTTCTGGTCTGGCATTGCAAGGGTCAGACAGGGAACACTGACCAGGAAAAGGAATAAAGGGTCCCTGCCTTCGACCAGGAGGAGGAAAGGGATGACCAGGCATACTGGACTGTGTGGATTCAATGGCTTGGCACATCAGATCCACAGAAGTATAAGGCTTTAGTAGACACTGGTGCACAGTGTACACTGGTGCCATCAGGGTATAGAGACACAGAACCCATCTGGCTCTCTGGACTGACAGAGGGATGTCAAGAATTGTCTGTATTGGAGGCTGAGGTGAGCTTAACAGGGGAAAAGTTGGGAAAGCACCCCATTGTGACTGGCCCAGAGGCCCCTTGTATCCTTGGCATCAATTACCCCAGGAGAAGGTACTTCAAGGATCCAAAGGGGTACCAATGGGCTTTTGGTGTAACTACTGTGAATACAGAGAAGATCAAGTGTGGGATTTAGACAGGCTAAAGGCCTAGGGGAAAGAACCAAACCCTAACAGCACACATTGGGCTAAGCTGAGCACAGAGCAATTCATTACAGGAATGGAACTGCTGCCCAAAAGCCTGCCCTGTCCCCAGGTAACAGCAGCAGCCAATCAGATGCTGCAGTCACAGGTTTTGCCTTATAAGGAATGTTTTTGTGTTTGTGTAAGGTTATAAAAACCTGCGTCCTGTCAAAAGTTATTCCAGCTCCCTTCTCTTACTGAGTCCATGCTCTGTCCCTCTCCTCCCCCTGGGATTGTGATTTAATGCGTCACAATCAAGTAGCTATCTACCCTGCCTGGTCTCTAGAAGATCCCTTCATTGTGAGATTTCTGCAAGTTGAAGACCAGCATGTGCCAATTGCTACCGGGACAGTGCACTAGCAGCAATATCCCACCAACTGAGATTCCCTGGCTCACTCACCTTTCAATAGTCCCATATGGCCAGTCCAAAAGTCTGACAGAGGGTGGAGGTTAACAGTAGGCTATTGCGGCCTGAACGAAACAATGCCACCACTGAGTGTAGCTGTAGAAGACATGTTAGAGCTCCAATATGGAGTCAAAGACAACCAAGTGGTGTGCTGCAACTGACATTGCCAATGCATTTTTCTTAAACCCTCTGGCAACAGAGTGAAGACCACAGTTTGCTTTCACGTGGAGGGGTGTCCAATACACCTGGAATTGACTGCCCCAGGGGTGGAGATGTGGCCTTTCCATCTGTCATGGACTGATCCAGACTGCACTGGAACAGGGTGATGCCCCTGAACATCTACGATATACTGATGACATCATTGTGTGGGGCAACACAGCAGAAGAAGTGTTTGATAAGGGAAAAAGAATAATTTAAATTCTTCTGAAAGCTGGGTTTGCCATAAAGAAAAGCAAGGTCAAGGGACCTGCACAGGAGATTCAGTTTTTGGGACTAAAATGACAGGATGGACACTGTCATGACCCTATGGATATGGTCAACAGGATAGCAACTATGTCTCCACCAACTAACAAGAAGGAAACACAAGCTTTCCTAGGCCTTGTGGGGTTCTGGAGGATGCAGAATACCAGGTTACAGTCAGCTTGTGAGCCCCCTCTATCAAGTGACCCGGAAGAAGAACCATTTTGAGTGGGGCCTTGAGCAACAACAGGCCTTTGAGCAGATAAAACAGGAGATAGCCCGTGCAGTAGCTCTGGGGCCTGTTGGAACAGGACCAGCTGTGTGAAATATCCTCTCCACGGCAGCTGGGGAGCATGGTCTCACCTGGAGCATCTGGCAAAGAACCTCAGGAGAAACCTGAGGTTGACCATTAGGGTTTTGGAGCCAGGGTTATGGAGGATCAGAAGGCCCACTAAGCTCCTAGTGAAAAGGAGATATTAGCAGCCTATGAGGGGGTTCAAGCAGCCTCAGAAGTTGTTGGAACAGAAGCATATCTCCTCTTGGCATTGTGATTGCCTGTGCTGCACTGGATGTTCAAAGGGAACATCCCCTCAACGCATCACGCAACCAGTGCTACATTGGAGTAAGTGGGTAGCTTTGATCACACAATGAGCTCAACTGGGGAAACCCAATTTCCCAGGAATCCTGAAAGAGATTATGGACTAGCCAGAAGGCAGAGATTTCGGAGCATTGCCTGAGGAGATGACTCGTGCCCAAGAAGCACCACCATATACTGAGTTATCATAAGATGAAAGAGGCTACACTTT